AAATGTTCAGTTACGATTCTAGTCACCAATCAGTATGTTGAATCCCTATTCAAAGTTTATATGCGTTGACCAAAAAAGAAGTAGCTCCTTTGCTGTGGTTTCTGATCTTCAGATGCAAGACAGGGCATGCATTTTAGCATGCGTAAATATTTACATATGCATATCTGCATGTACAGGCAGACTTTGATTTTCGTGTTTCCATCAGCATTTGGAAAACCATTGTTTTGAAGACTTGATTTTTAAAGATTATTAAGTGAGGTAGCATCCACAATGAATTTTTCCTCAGGGCTCCTCCTGGAAGGTGTTACCTTGCGTTGGTCACCTGTCTCTGGCTATAAGAAGCTTGGAGCGGATCATTACTGTAATCCCAAAGCAGAAATTGAACAGTGTATTTTCAGATGTGTAATCTGTGGGTTGTCTGCCAAAAAAAGTCAGTTTTTCAGCAGCGATGTGAGTTGTGTCTGTTCTGACAACCAGCAGGTCCTGTCCACACTGGTGGCCATCCCCCATCTGCATCTCTCATCGTCTGATCCCTCTGCCCAGTGCCTCCCCCTTCCCCTACCCCTCATTTTTTGCATGTTATGAAGGATTACATTTCAATGCCAGTATTTTTTAAAGGGTATGGGTTATCTGAGGTGCAGGCTGTACGTGCAAAGATACTGTAGCACAGTACATGGCCCAAGCCGGGCTGGCTGCAAAAGCTCTCTGCTTGTGGCTAATCTTGTGGTATTTTGAGCTGTGCACCAAAGACCAATCAGTCACGGGGAGCAGCAGGAGAGTTTGGGTTATCGCAGGGGCTATTTCAAAATGAGGAACTTTGTGCACCAGGCGCAAGGGACAGATGCGTGATTCTCCTGCAGAAGGAGAGGAGCCCTTGAGGTGCCCCTGGCAGCACCAGGGAGCAGATGCTTGAGAAGCTGAAAGAGCCCACGCTGGCTCCCTTGTTCTATTTTTCCACATTTTACCAGCATCGATTTGACAATCAATATCTTCATCCTCAGTTAATTAGGGTTTGTACCACTGTACGTGAGATGAGATCCTGAGCCGGGCCCAGTCTGGATCCTTTCTCCCCTTGCTTTCGGGTCAGGCTGTAGCTGTTTGGCTGGACTCGGCCTAGTAGCACACTGTAAACGGCAGGCTTCTTTGCTGCTTTTTATTTATCCATATTGAGTGCATCAGATGAAGCCAGAGCTTCCTGGGGCCATCCGAAGCTTCCTGGAGGGGGTACTCTCGCAGGCAGATGTGGCTCCTGGAAGGCAGACATGTGTCTCCGGGAGGCAGACATGTGTCTCGGACTTGGATCGCTCCTTTTGGACTATGTGGTTGCAAGAGCATTTTCTTACAATATATTTCCTTGGGGGAATCTGATGGACTTAGATCTCGGATACCATCCCCACTAAGTGATACAGTAAAAATAACCTATTATTCTCTGGTTCTGACCTGGGCGGTGACAACATATTGTTTCAGCATCTCTGTCAGACTATTTCCCTTAAGAGCCATTTTAACCTCACCCAGTGGGACATAACTAAAGGAAATGAAACTCCAACCCCATTAAGGAAAAAGACAATGCCTTTCACTAAACAAACTTGATTTTCTTGGCTTTTCTTCGCCAGGGAGAATCGCCCGTACCCCCCACCCTTGCAGCCTTTGTAGGCAGTTCCTGTAATTGGGAATGGCTGGGTGGACACCAATGGTTGGCAGCAAAGGGGGATAAATCTGACATCCCTTGAACGTGACATGGGCTGGGACAGCAGTCCCAGGTGGCCACTTAGCGTCAATTCCTATGGTACTGGTCGACGGTACGTGCCTGCCAGCCACAGCTGCCGGCCCTTGAAACACAATCGGGATTTTAGCAAGACTAGATAAGAGATACACAGTAAAAGTGGGCTGTTACTGATTTTGTGCGAGCGTTGGATAGTTACTGTACCCTGCCCCACTAGCAAGAGCTGGTGACGAGCAACAAAGTTGTGGTGGTCCATCTCCTGGCACCCGTATGGTGAAACGGCCACCCCAAAAGCAAGCGTGACCTTGAGGATTTGTCATTTGTGGGCTAAGGGAAAGATCACAATCCATCTTCACACTTCAGCTAAGGCCAAAACAAAATTTACAGTCAGTAATTAGGTTTTCAAGCATGGCCATTAATTTGGAGTGTCTTAAGACAAATTAGAAATCCCTTTTTAAAATGCAGTCCCATGCAGTTATGAAGTAGGAGTCTGAAAAGGCACCGTTTCACACTTTGCGTGTGGGTAATTAGGACAAACCACAGGGTGATCTCCTTGTCCCTGGAAGAGTTAGGGTTTACAGAATGCAATCAATTGGTCAGGCTTGCAAATTCTGGGTAGAACTGAGTAACACCTGGGTCAACGTAAATCCGCAGGCAAGATTAGAGCTGGCAGAAAAATAAAGAACTCTGTGTCGCAATATAAAAGTAGATTGCAAAAAATTGCAATCCTGGAAGAGTTTTTCATTTCAGAGGTGGCTAATGTCCGTAGGTCCCCTCATTTTTTTTACAAAAATGTTCCCAGTGTGCCCAGTGTTCTGTTTTGGGGTGTTTCTAGTACCAGTCCCCGTGGGGAGCAGTTAAGCTCCTATTTCAAATCTTAATCCTGGAAGGATCTAAAAATGTATATATCTCTGTGCCCTGTTAAGCAGGTTTATGGCTGTCCCAGCAGTTCACCAAAAAATTGTCAGAAAAACAAGAGTGTTCCCTAAACACTAGGTGTGAGACACTCTCTCTTGCACGCTTTCTTCCTCTGTTGATGAGTATTTCAGTAACCCCTGTGAAGAACAGCTTCCGTGGGAGACAGTCCAAATGCCCTCCATTCCTCATCCCAGAATAGCCTGTTGCCTGATGATTATGACATTCTCCTGCAAGATTAAAGATGGGGATTCAAGCAGCACAAATACCAAAAGAAAGTGAAATTGGACTTTCTCCATGCCCGGTTGCTGTTGCAGTGAGAGCAGGACATTAGCCACCTTGTAGGTACCTCTGAAGAAAAGCGGTTGCACCTACTGGTTTTTTTTTTTCTCCCCCAAGAGATGACTCCAGGGGATGATGCAGGGTGGTACCTGTTTGGGGCTTGGAGTGGATGTCCCAGGGAGGTTAAAGCTACTGTGAATCCCTCTTGGAGGCACCTCCATTAATCTCCATGCATGATACTAGGAACACGAGTTAGCTATTGTGAATTAATTCCCTGAAGCAACTAGGCGCCTAAAGGCTGTTATAGAGCCGGCCCTACCATTTTTATTCAGTTACTGAACTACTTTATCTCATACCATGTCTCTAACAATGACCAATAGGAGATATTTTAGAGGAATATGTGTCCTGCCCTCATACCCTTCCAGTGGGTGATGATGATCTGTCACGCTGTGATTAACTTTCTCCTTCTGTGAGCTCTCTCTGCTGTTGACAAGGAGGTATTGCAGTTGCTCATATCGCCTCTGTGCGGTCAGCAGTGGCCTTTTTTAAAAAACAGTAGAAAGTCATAATGATTAGCATTGCGAAGAATAAAGTCCCTTTTTAGATCATGGCCTGATAGGCAACTGCTGTCGCAATAACTGTTACTGCAAAGGCCACCAATATGTCAGTGGGGCGAATATTGAGCTGCTGTGGTTTGCAAAAACATTAGCTTTCTGAAACTTTCCTTAGTCGATGGAAAGATTTACAGGCACAGTGATGCATATCTATCTCAAAATTATGTTTGGATTAAAAACTTCCTGCAGAGCTAATGTCAACTCAGGTTTCAGGTCACTGCCACAAGCTAAATCAGGTTAGAGATCAAAAACAGCAAGCAGGTACGAGGGAGGCTTGCAGCTATCAAATGGCATAATCTCTAGCATGATTTTTTTATGACTCTGCACCCATAATGACATGTACAAGCAGGGAATGGTTGTGGTCTGGAATAAACTTGCTGGTTTGCCTGGTTCTGGTGAAAATTTCACGTGCTTTTTAGTATCAAAACACTATGCAAAAATAACTGGTCAGATCCAGCTAAAGTCACTTGAGTTATGTGGGGAATGAATTGGCCTCATGTGCCTGAAATCTGATTTAACATAAAAGCTACAAGTTATTCCTAAACTGTTTTCATTGGGATATCCTGGATAAAAAGGCACTTGTTAGGGTAATTCTTTCTGTTGTTATTTTTACACAATCTATGATTTTTGAGCATCATAAATTATATATATAAACTATAAAACCAGCTATGATTTAATATGCTTTGGGTTTTGCATCAGGTGACTCATGCCACTGGCTTTTTAATTAACTAAGGAGCCATCATTCTTGGCAAACTGTTCAATTACATAACTGTGTATAAGACAATAATTGAATATAAAGGTTTATTTTTGTCCCTTTATTGATGTCAAGGGAAAACAGTGCAGTTATGAAAATGGAATAAACTGAAAAGATTCCTTCAGTTCCTGCAGGTTGATTAGGACAAATGACTTTCCATTCCAGTTTTTATGAATGTATAATTTTCTGAAAGCTTTATAATACTTCAGGGAAAGGAAATTGCAGGCAATAAATGATACAGGATGGTTCAGGTTATTGGGAAATAGGGGAATGGGTTTTTGTCTAGAAAGGTGAGATTTACTATTCTGCTGTATTTCACTTAAATGTTTGAGAAGGAATCAGATGCAGTGATTTGTACCTTATTATGGGCATGGCAACCGCATGAGAGACTTGCTCAGTAACACCATTTGCTGATGCCGATGCAGTGTGCAGTCTTTATATACCTTTCGTCTGCAGTCAGCAGGTAGGCAGCAGTGTCAAACATTTGCTATCCCCTACATTGCATTGGCTGCAGAGAGGTGACCGCAGACTCCAGGTGTGGTTTGTCTCCCCTGGTCAGTGAAGGCAGCAGATGTATTTTCATATCTCAGCTTGCTAAACAGCACTGGTTTTTATGGAACTGAGTTTGGTCAAACAGTTCTTCCAGTGTTAGAGAGCTCTACCAGTAAAGACTGTTTAATAAACCCAGGGTATTTTCTGTTTTTCTATGTAGAAAGCAGAAATATGGCAACAAAGGAAAAGCTTCAGTGCTTGAAAGATTTCCACAAGGACATCCTCAAACCTTCCCCCGGCAAGAGCCCGGGGACACGGCCTGAGGATGAGGCAGAAGGAAAGCCGCCCCAGCGGGAGAAGTGGGCGAGCAAGATTGACTTTCTGCTGTCCGTGGCTGGTGGATTTATTGGTTTAGGCAATGTCTGGCGGTTTCCGTATCTCTGCTACAAAAATGGCGGAGGTGAGTATTTCTTTATTTCATTGTCATGAATCAATTTGGCTGCCTTACGCTTACGATTTTTCAGTGCCTTCATCCAATTTTTAAAAAGAATAATCACACATCTGTTTTCTGCCTCCTTCACCAGTCTTTGAGAGAGATTGTTTCATTACTAACAGGTTTTGTTAAAACTTAATTAGGGAAAAACAACAGCAATTTAGAATTTTATACTACTGAACCTTTTCTGCTCTTTTACTTCTGCTACAATTGAGTCTGAGTTTTAACCGAAAGATATGCTGTTAATATAGACCAGTAGGATTTCAGACCAGTGGATTTCAGAGTAAGAGCATTCTGAGCCATGTGGAACTGTTGTGTGCATAACCCCATTGTTATTGCAGATTTTCTTTTAAAAAGGTAAGAAAATGCCCTTTCCAGCTTCATATACCCATTCCACTTGCAGAGTTTGAATATGAGTAAAAATACCCCAGAATAAGATTATTGTATACTGATATTAAAGTATCAAATATGCATGTTTGTTTATATATGTCCGTTAACACTTTTTAGACTACCTTATGTAAAGTCACTGACTTCTTCTCAATTTTGTACTGTTACATTTTCTCAACAGGTGCATTTCTTATACCTTATTTCATTTTCCTGTTTGGGGGAGGTCTTCCCGTGTTTTTCCTGGAGGTGGTGCTAGGACAGTATACCTCTGAAGGTGGAATTACATGCTGGGAAAAGATCTGCCCTATTTTCACTGGTTAGTACATCTTGTTGTGCTTTACTGATTAAAGACACCTCTGTAAACCATGTGCAGCAACACCGTTCCCCTCATGTCCATTAATTCAGCTATTTGCTGTAGTAATTGAGGGTATGATATTGGTTCCTGGAAAGGTAGAAGTCAGAGAGTCTGAAGGACAAAGTAAGGTATTGATTTTGATACTATCATCTTGTTAACTGGCAGAACTGCTGATAAGCAAGAAAGAAATTGCATATTATGCCTTAAAAAGGCAATTGCACATTTTGTTCACAGGTATCAGAGAACGTGTTGTTTTGGAAAGCTAGAGTCTTTTACACGGCTTTAGTGAAAGCATCTTCAAAATATTATTCTGGTCTGGAAATCAAACTCCTTCTGCCATGTGAAAGCTTAGCTTTGGCATCATCCCTCTGTTACTGATACAGCCAAAACCTGGACAGCATTTTGGGTAGGATTCAGGAATGGGACTTTTATCATAACTGAGCAGGTCCTGGCAAACAGGCATGTTGGTCTGGTGTTATCAAGGGCCTTTGCTAGCAAATGAAGAATCACTCATGCTCACAGGAGTTACATGAATGCCACTCTGGAAGTTACCTAGAATGAAACATCAAAGACAGGTTAGAAAAATTACCGAGGATGCCTATCTCTTGTAGAGATTACCCTCCATAGCCGGACAGCACAGGCAGAATAATTTGGAATAATTATACTAAACAGAGCAGCACTCTTCAAATCGTTGGGCACTTCATGGTGACATGTCTCTAGCTCTGCCACCGTCACTGTTCCAGGCATCTCTCTCCCCCCATGTCACCCCAGGCAGAAGTGAGGGCTTTCTCTGTGGCTCACTCTCCCACCTAATACTCAGAACACTGCTGAAGTTGATGTAATTGTGCTGCTTTAGCTCCATTTTCTTCCTCCTCCTCCCACTTTTATGAAGCCTTTTTTTTGGAGGAGGAGGAGGAAGGAATGTTCCTTGTTTAAATAACCATCTCCCAGGCATCCATAAAGAGAAATTGTAGCTCTAATAATGTGACTAGCTGTATATCCTGAATGAAATGCAGCTGTACAGAATAAATAGCACTTGCTCTGGTTGTTTTCGCCTGGCGTAGGTATAAAAATAATCTCTGGTGGTACAGACTTTTGTTGCAATAAGGTTTGAAACTATAAAATATGAGGCAGATATCCCAGGTGCTGGGGTAGCCATCAGAGTGATGTTAAAGGGAACTTCATAGGCTTTTCATCCTCTTGTAAGAGACTGCTCTCAGTTTTTAAAGGAAATCTCTTTTTTTTCCCTGTTATTCCTAAATGGCAAACTTTGTAAGCTTTTTGGAGCTAGATGATTTTCAGTAAAGAGGACTTTTCAGAGTCCTTTCATTTTGTATTTAAAAAAATAGTGACTGCTTCTTATTTAAGACATAGCATGCATCTGCTGGTGCAGCTAAACTGCCGAACTAGGAGAGAGATACCAGACTCAGGAGAACAGTTGTGGTGTTTAATTAAAGCCTCCACCAGAACAGCATTCCGCCACCTCCCGAAGTTGTGTAGGACTCGCCCTTATCTGCCCATGACCCTGCTTATAAAAACAAACAGGGAACATTTTTTATTGTCAAATATTGATAGCAGAGTTAAACATTGATCTAATTAACCATAACAGCTACAAATACCGTGCTTCCTTTGCACAAGTGAAATTGGGGCAGAAACAGCAGCTTTCACATTGATAGCTTTGGAATTTTCCTTTTTAACTCATTCAAGAGCTGTCTTTTTTTTTGCCCGTAGGCTGAGCCAAGCCAGTCGATAAGTATGAGTGGTGCAGGGGCTGCCCAGCCGAGCTGCCTCCAAGGAAGCTGGCTTGGGGGACAGTGTGGTGAGAATGATGTTGCCCGAGCAGGTACCTAAGATGGGAAGTGGTGTAGCTCCCAAATAAGCAAAGCGGGATGCCTTGTTTTCCTTTTAATAAAACTTGAAATAGCCAGGTTAGTGTTAAATTGGGTAGACGTCCTGCAGACCTCCCCTCCAATGTCAGCAAACCACAGCCAGAAACTCAACCCTGAGTGCCCATGCTAGCCAGAGATGGTGGCAGGTCTGTGCTTATGTGTGATCAGGTTGAGCTGAGCTTCCAACAGCGGTGTGGTAGAGCGGGATACAAGCCCACAACACAGCGGGAATAGCACCAGCTCCACAAGATCACAAGGTGCCCTAGCATGAAGTGGCTGTCACGTCTGCACGTATTTCTTTTCTCTCCCCCTCTCGCCAGGAATTGGTTATGCTTCCATAGTGATTGTGTCCCTTCTGAACGTGTACTACATCGTGATCCTGGCCTGGGGACTCTACTACCTGTTCCAGTCGTTTCAGAGCGTCCTGCCATGGGCGCACTGCCACCAGAAGTGGAACACGCCAACCTGCGTGGAAGACACTCTCAGGAAGAACAAAACACTCTGGATATCACTGAATGCCACTAACTTCACCTCACCTGTCACGGAGTTTTGGGAGTAAGTACCCCCTCTTCGTGGTGCCTTTGGGGTGTTTTGGTGGCATGAGATTTTATGGAAGCCCCATGGGGAAGATAGGAAAAGAAAATTGCTCTGGATGTCAATCGTTTGACGAGTGTTTGCTACTGGTTCTCGCCCATCCTGAGACAGACTGGTCAGTTTGGGAGCAGTGGAGGAAGGCATTAGATGTGTAACTGCATTCATCTTAGAGCGTACAGGGAGCCCTAAAAACCCTGTGTAATTTCTGGTTTGGAAGAAAACTTATTTCCTTCTTGGTTGGGATTTTCTAAATGCAGCATGAGAACAGAAACAAGTCACTTCAGATGCCCTGATAGCATGGATTCACAGTGGAAACAATGACAAATCACCCCCTTTGTGGTTGCCTTTCCCTCTTCCCGAGCTGTTAGCATTTGCAGTACACTTTGTGAGGCTATAACACATCTCTTATCAGTCTGACAATGAAGCAAGGCATTGACCTCACCAATAAAACTGACAGAGGTGCTGAACGTTGTCCTGTACTGTAGGTTTCTCATCTTTGTTACATCATTTTTCTCTGCAATCTCTGAGGAGACTGTTTTGCCAGATGCCTGGATTTCATCAGACCTAAGCTTTGTATTCCCATTTCTCTCTTACTTTTCAAGTTTTAAATTATATTGCATAACCTGATTTCTGAACGGGCATGACCTCAAATCTCTGTGTGTTTATATAGGCGTCAAAACATAGCAGCAGAGGAATACACCTATAGGGAAACTTAAATCCAAAGGATCCACAAATAGCTTAGGAAGAAATTTTTTTTTCTTGGCTTGCTCAGATGGTCAATTAAGAGTAGAATTAGTTTCTGACCCAGCTCAGCATTTTCAGCATGTTTAAAGTCCAGTTTGGTCCCTGATCAACTTGTACCTACTTCTCTATTTTTAAAAAGAAGTGTTAGCCAATAGCTCCAGAAGGAATGATGTTCATGCGGAAGATATTTGGCATGCGTTAGAAAAAAATACCCTTATGAACTGTGCTAAAATTTGTAACACAAGACCCAAAATACAAAGGGGTGCAGGCTGTAAGGGCAGTCATTTTCACCGTGCCGTGAGCGCTGCATTTCCATGTTAAGCGACAGATACTTTCCCAGGTGACTTCCTCCCTTGTAAATGTGGAGGGAGCTGGAAAAGGTTTGTTAAGTGGTACCTTTGGATATTTTAGGGGAACTTAGAGGCAGGTTGCAGTAGAAGAGGAAGCAACTCTCACTCCTTTGGACTCTCCTACAATGACTTTGGGACTGAGGGCCTTGAATCCAAATGAGTGGCTGACTTGGCACGGGTGCATAGTGCTGTCCCTGAAATAGAGTTTCTCTCCTAGGACTTCAAAAGCACTGTCTTCATCTTCAATTTTGTGCAGTAATTTTGCTCACAGGTCCTCTTGTACCTGGGGGCAGGCGTGAGCTTAGCAGCCTCCTGATGTGGCCACGGCGTTGTCCTGCTCCAGAAGCTTCTGCTCCTGTAGTGCGCAGGTTTATGGGCCGGGTTGTCTCCCTGGGGCCCCAGGTGGCATGTCCACTTCAGGAGACTGAAGATACCATAGCAGAAGGCAATAGGGCTGGGAGTTGGAAAATGGGTTGTAAAAGAAAAAGTGGGGGCTCCAGGACCTCAGGGGACACCAGAGCTTTCCCTGGGTAATGACACAGCAGATACGTGATGAAGGGCCTTATGGCAGGGCAGCCTGTCCGTGGGTTGGGCAAACGACGTCCCCATGGGAGCACATTAGAGGTGGAGCTGTTAGTTAAGTTTACTCTAAAAGAAACCAAGTTTCTGTCCTCAAAACTCAAGCTGAACCAAATCCTCCTGTAGACACAGACTAACAGATGTAGTCAGGCTGGAGGTGGCCAAGGCTGGAGGACAAATCCTTGATCCTCACAGCGCTATCCCCTTCCCTCCGTCTTCCCCTCACTGTTCCTGTAGCACAGCCGGAGCAAAGGTTGCTCAGCGATCAGCGCTTGTGGAGGCGGCTCTCTTTGCACTTTGCAGCCACTTTAACTTTTGTCCTCAAATAACAGTTTTAAACATTGTGAACTGAACTCTTCCCTGGAGTCATTCTAGGGAGGAGTTTGGCTCCGTAATCCTGTAATACAGGCATACTGTCCATAGCTCACTGTTTCATCATGAGCAAAACTACCCTTAACAGACCAAGCTGCCTTCGGGACTCATGGCACTTACAGAAGTACTAAAAATAGCTGTTCTCTCTGCATAAACAACTATTGGTGTCTTAAAGTAAGGACAGAGATCACGCAACACTGTTGTAATTAAAGTAACGTCACTTTTACATGGTGCAAGCATTTAGTATCCCCAGTTTTTCCCCAGATGTGCTACTATCCTTTATAGTTCTGAAATTAAAAATAATTTCAAGAACTTTCACGTACTTTGCCATCGTAGACAATGCCAGCTGCCAGGCAGCCAGCTACCCGCATCGAAAAGACAGGTCAATAAATAGTCTTTAACTGAAGACATCCACCTGCTTTGTGGCACAATTAATTCTGATTTAATTCAGGGGTTTGTGAGTATTTGGTTTCTGAAACCCAATGCCATTTTTATTGTGGGACATTTATGTAGTGTCCTCATCAGTATTGCTTTGTAAAACTAACGCTGCCTAGATATAATTGACCACATTGATGCATTAACTTCTTCGCATTGAATAACACGTGTCCTTCTCAGCCTGGCTGGATGTATAGTACAGCCTGACATTTCAGTTCATTTGAATTAATGTTCTGTGCAAATCACATGCTTGCTTGAGCAGCAATAAAAGGGGGTTAAGCAAATCTGGCTTTGTATGAGAAGACTTACCTCTTGGTATCACATGCTTCAGGTCTTATTTCTGAAGATTTTATTTTAGAGTCCAAAACCTTAAAGGCTTACACACGTATTAATACATAAGGGATAAGTGTTATGGGGCAATTATGGTTGAACAAAACCTCTGATTGTCTGGTGCTGGCCAAGTGTTTATAAATATTTGGTAATCAGCAGACTTTATTCATCTAAATCCCAAGAAAGACCATCACATGCTAATGGCATGTAATCCCAAAGGGAGCAACACAAAAACTAAACAAAATCTAAAGCAGCTGTCTCTGCCTTTGGGGGCAAACTTGAGAGTTTTAAAAATTGTTTCATATTTTCCTTCTAATAGTCTTCTGATACAACTGCTTCAGTGTTAGTTATTCTTGTCCATCCAACATGAAAGGGTGCCTAGCCTTTCCTGGTACGAAAGGTCCTGTCTGCATTCAGTTGATTAATGAGCTGGAATATCCTTCAAGGATTGCATAAATCTCCTCATTTTATTTTTATGTTCTAGAGCCAGTTACAGCTCCTATTATATGTCCATATTGTACATCATTAGAACATACTAGTGTATGAGCAAGGTTCAAGAACCCATGTTTACAACAAACTCAGCCACAGCCTGTTGTCCCATTGATTATATATGAGTGACAGCATCAAGACTGTAAATTAGAATTAGTAACAACTTCATGCATAAATGGCATAAAGTTAGTTGAGTGGGCTTGGCTGAATCTAAGCAGCAGTGGGTTGTGTAACAAAATTGAAGAGCTATCAGCATAGCTCTTCCAGCTCGTGCTCCTTCCTGAACTTGAATTTCCAGGGTATCGCAAATCCATGTTGAGTGCTTCTGCTGCAAAAATGTGTTGGGTTAGAATTCATGAAACAATTTTAATGCTGAGGCTCCCCTGGTAATTCTGAGTGGATTCCTTGAGGTAGTCAGTCTTTGGGAGATGAGATAACTGAGGACAGAGAGAGCCAGCACATCACTTACTGTGCTTGCTGCCTCACCATAGGAAAGTAACGTACCTGGCTCTCAGTAACCCACTGGGGTGCCCCCCAGGAAAGCTTGAAAGGGTTGCTGGGGCAAACTGTAGGTGAGATGACCATTTGCTTTTAGTTCCCTAATAAAAAGCAAAGAAGTCTTAGCTGAATGCATTAATAGAGCTCCCTACTCCAAAACGTATTTACAGTTAATTATTCATGGCTTCCTGAGAGCTAGCTCTATAGGTTGCCATTTTAATATGAACTGCCCCTTAGATTGGAAAATTGCCATTTATTTTTTAAAAAGCCACAGAAGGTTGCAGCTGAAGTTTGTCGTCTTATAAATGTATTTTCTTCTTTTGTATACGGCACAGCGGGTTTTTCCCTGGTTTCTTTAGGCTCAGGTGAACCAGGACTGCAACTTTATGCCAAATATTCATTACCAAGGGGTTTCTCATAACTGCTGAATAGCTGTGCTGATTAGGGCAGACTTACCCTGTCTGGTGCCATTAGTCCTTTTCCATAACAAAATACACACACGTTTCAGAGAGAATAAAGCATTTGGTGTGAAAACACATTCACACAGGTAATCCAAGTGAATTTGGCAGACAGAGTCACAAAAACAGATGGATGAGGCTTTGAGTCCTATTAAACTGGTCAATCCAGGTTTTTTTTCCAAAAACTAATTGCAAATTTTCCATCGGTGACTTCATTTGCTATTATTTCCTTGGTAGTAGCGAAAAAAAAAGAAAAAAAAGTTTAATTAATTCAGGGAAAAAACAAACCACAGTGGTTTGTCTTGTACTGGATCCACAGGCAAAGCTGCACAGGCCACACTTGTGGGCCTGACCCTGTACGGCACTCCAGGCTGCTGTGGTCTCGGCTCTCCACAACTTAGGTGGAGGAAAGTGGCTGATTTTTGTAGTTGTCTGAAAATAAAATTTAATTAACAATTTGTTAGGTAGCAAGGTAATTTAATTTTAGTCTTGGGGCAAGGCATTTCTGTTGTGATTGAGGTCAAAATTCTCCTTGACTTAAAAAGGCCTTGCAGAAACTCTTCAGAGTTTAGTAGGTCCATTTGCAGAGGAGTTTTAGCTAAGTGAACAGTAAGAAACAATTTCTTCTTTCATACATATTTGACAAGTGAAGTAAGTATCAGGTATGTCAAGGTCCGTCCAATATGTGACGACAGTGTATGTTGCACAAAAGTTAAAAAAATAGTTTAAAATCAGTATTTAACAATGACCCATGGCAACTGCCAAAAGAGAGAAGCCTTAATTAATTTTTCTCCTCAGGAACAAGAGTATTTTGATGGTTAGATGTTGCTCCCTTAAGACCCAGCTTATGATAGGAATCTCTTTTTATTTATTAACCTAAGTAAGTGACAGAATAAAGTTTACCAAATATCTGGAGTTAGCTAAACAAGACCTTGGTGGCGGCAGTGCTGAGGGCGGACGGCGGCGCATCCAGGCAGTGTTTGTGTGCGGGGGGCCGCGGGGGGAGAACAGATAATGGCTCCAGGCTTCACCCTGCAAAGCCGCGCGGCATGATGGTTTCCTGCGTTGCTTTTTCCCTTTCCTCCTGTGGCAGTTTTGCTAATGAACTGAAAAGGAGGAGAAACACACGGATGCGGGGCAGTTGCCAGTGTCCATGATGGAGACATTGTGTGCAATCCTGCCACGTGGCTTCAAAGCCGGGGTTCGTGGCAATGCCAGGGTGAGCTGGTCTTGCGTCTTCAAGGGAGCAAATGTGAAAGCCGTAGTGCTTTGAGCATACTTTCTTATCTCATCCTGAGGTGGTTCACGGGCTGCTAAAAAGAGCTTAAAATGAAATGCTGTGCAATATATTGAACAAAAGAGTCCCACAAACCTAGGGAAAATGTAGGGCTGCAAAGCTCAGCTTTGCTTGCATAAGCCATGCTGACTTAGCAAGCAGCGTTCAAAGGGCGGGGATCTGCCCATGCATCTGCTGTCCTACACACCATCCTATACTCTCAGACATCACAACCAGACCCTGCATCAACTGAGCTCCTACATCTCTCTCTTGTTTTATTTCCTTTCAAATATTCAGGCGGAATGTGCTGAGCTTGTCATCGGGAATTGAAGATATTGGTATTATCAAGTGGGATCTAGCACTGTGTCTTCTCCTCGTCTGGGTGATATGTTTCTTCTGCATTTGGAAAGGAGTCAAATCCACTGGGAAAGTAAGTGCTCTTTTACCCTTTTTATAATCATTGCAGTTAGCAGATGTTAGGAATGCTAAGTAATGCTGTTCTTAAAGATATTCACCATTTCCTTGAAAAACACATATTTTTTCACTGAATAAAAGAGGGACTCGGATTCAGCTGAATTCAGAAAGTTATTGCCAGTACCCAAAATGCCTGTGAGTCAAGTAGGCATTTAATACAAGCACGGTTCAAGTACCACTTTGCCTCTCTGAGGACGAGCGTCCCACTGATGTGTGTCATGAGCATGGAAGGTCTTAGGCTTGCGATGTGTGGTGCTCTGCACTCCCTGTCCGTGCTCTCACACCAGCCAAGTTCACTCTCAGTGCAGCAGGGTGGATGTTAACATGCTGTGGTAGGGATGTTTTAAGTCAGTGGAAACTGCTGGATGCATAGCATTTTTGAAATGCCGCTCACTTACAGAAGAGCTCTGTGCAGACATAGGAGACTAAACTTAGGTACTCGTTTGGAAGCATTCTCCTTAGCAGAGATCCTGGATAGTTTGTGGTTTTAGTCTCATCATGTGCTGTTTAGAATCATGTTTTTCTCTAAAGGATAACAGTTAAATCATTCCTGAACCTCATCCTATCTAGTGCAAGAAACAAATTACAGCAAATCTTGGTCAATCACTTAACAACGTGAGGGATGATATTATCACCCCTTGCATACAGTTGTGGTTTTAAACTTAGTTTCATGAGAAAAGGCTTTTGAAGCCATTGCATATGTGTGGCTTTTAGCTTTCAAACCTGTTGGTTGAGGCAGCATTTCAGGTAAATCTAACAGAGTTCCCAAGATACTAAGTTCCCACGTTTCTTGTCAACTAGGTGGAAGGGAGCAACCCCGTTAGTGTCCCACCTGAGAGAAAGGTCACAACGTGAACCCACCTTTTATTGGCCCCCAGAGAAGTCAGGAGGAGTGAGCAATTGCAGATGCCTCAACCACAGAAAAAGCATCATTTAGCAGTTTTACCTTGTTACACGCTGCAGAATCAACCAGGAGACAAAACTCTGTAGGAGACCAGACCTCATTAGTTCCACTGTTGACTAAACTACTTGCTTTACTGTTGTTTCTCTCTTGCTTTCTGTGATATTTATCATGGAGCTTCATTAAAATCATGCTGGTGCCTTACCCTGGATTCCTGCCAGCTTTGCCCCTAAGAACAGCTCCACACCTCTAAAGCATACGTTGACAAAAATGTTTGCTTTTCTGTTCCCTCTGATTGATGTGACCCGGTGAGGTGATTGTGTAAGTTTTATAGTAAAGGTGAACGCAATAAATCTCCCGCAGTAGCCGAGTGGAAGCGCACATTTCTGTAGTACCTTTGGCGAGCCTGGTGTCTGCTCAGTAAAGGTGACAGTAGCTCTGAGAGGTTTTTCCAAGCTCCCTGTGGTACACTATTTCAAGCCCCTGTGAAAGTAACAGGTTGAAAACAGGTGTGTTAAAATCAGTTATCAAAAAAATTGTGTTTTCTGGAAATCCAACAAAACGGTCTCATTTCTAAGACAAGGCGGTTGGTAGAAGTTCGCTGCCTCCTCTCCGCAGCGTCTGAGCTCGTGTGGGTGTGGAGCCAAAGCCCAGCAAAACCATTGGAAAGTCTCCGGTTGACTCCATTAACTTTGGGGTCAAACAAAAGTAAACTGTAAACTCTGATGGAGGACTTGAATTATTTGAGAAGTCTAGTTTACTTTAGTACATGGTTGTTTATAGCACTTTCCTGCTTTCCAGTGTGTAAATGGCTCTTTGGAGAGAGGGGGAAAAAAAAAGACATAGTTTTTAAATCTTGTAGTAGCGTATTGGACAAATAAACATGAAATCATGAGGAAAAATAATAGTTGTGCTTATGCTTTGGATAATGTGCTTGATCTTAAAAATTCCTCCAGCGTTACCAGAGAATCCTTACCTGCAACGCAAAGGCCACTTTGTGAGTGTTGTTTGCTTAGTTCCTGCAAGTCCAGTTTCTTGTAAGAGAACATTGATTTTTCATAGGCCTGGCTTATATTAAAAAAAATTAGAAAACACAGAAACCCCCCTTTTATCCTTCAAGTTTTGGTGAAGCCAGGCTAATGTGTAATATATGTTGTCAGTGGAAAATACACAGAAAATTCAAGGAGAGAATTAAAAAGGACGTGTATGAAAAGGTTTCCTTTCATTTTATGAAATCAGTCCGGCTCCATGAATTATTATGGCAATGCAGGCTTTGAGTTCTGCTCATTATTCTCAGAGGACACACTTAAGAAGAAAAATGGTGCATCCCGGGAGCTTTGTTGTAGTTAAACAAATTCTGGAAAACAAAAATACATTTTAACTCATGATAGCAAACTGTAATTACCTGGGGGGATCATCTGACTCCATGAAAAATGCCCTTTCTTGAATAGTAGTGATTCTTGACTGTAACACAGCAGTTATATAAAAAATGAGAGAAAGCACTGATGAGCAAAGAAAACAAAATGTTAGAGGTCAAAAAGTGTGAGTCTAAAGATAGAACTGCCCAAATCGAAGCTCAATTAACCCTCGTGCTGGAGGTTAAAGCAAAGGGCTCTTTCATCACATGAACAAGAAGATAACAAGAAGAGAAGAAGTAGGCTCTTATTCAAAGAGACTGGGAATAGAGGTTAAAGATAATGAAGACATATTCTCAAAACTTGTTGAATAGAGCCTTAGTTTCCAATAATGATGTTGCTGAATAGGCAGCAAGGGCAAGAATGAAGTTATGGGACTGGAAATTAGCACTGTTGAGACTGATGCCAACCTGAAGGGCTTCATGCATTCAGGGTGATGGGAAGGGAGACACTGGAGCACAGACCAAATTACCTTCATCTCTGAAAGAAGTGCCTTATGAAATTGCCTGTAGGAGCAGTAGTGAGGCTGCACAGAAGAGTTAGAGGTAGCAGCAGAGCTTGCAAAACAATTTGCAGTTTTTAAGTTCAAATAAAGAATGAGGTAATGCTTTAGGCGCCCTTGGCAAGGGAATCTGTTCAGCTTCCCTGACGAAGGTGCACTTGTCATGTAAGGAGGACAAACAGGGCAAAGGCACAATATCTGGCAAAAGTCGTAAGTTGTATAAAATCTTGCATGTTCTCTGCCTGAGTGACGTGACCACTGTCTGGGGGGCTCTGGAGGGATTAATGAACCTGCATTGCCTCCAGGCCTAACGCAATAGGTGGTAAAGACCATTAAACTAAAACTAGACACAGAAACTCAGGTCATGTTCTTTTTAGGTATGAGGGGGCTTTGAATTCCCATCGTTAGATTTCTCTTGATTCTGGAGGTGTAGCATTGGCTGCCACAGACTAAACATACCTTTT